CCCCGGTTTCCGCCCCCAGCCTGGGGTTAGTGGATTTTACAGAAAAACAGCCGGGATAGGCTGGGAAGGGAGGAAAGGCTTTTCTGTCGGCAGGTACGAGGGGAAATCTCTGCACGGCACAAAGCGTGGGCTCGCCTCCCGCCTCCCGTCTGGGCTGGGCACCAGGGAGCATCCCTGATGAGAGCAGACAGTTCCGCCATCCTCTGGGTACAGCGGCTGCTTGTTGCTCGCGGAGAATGAAAACATATTAAAGTACGAAACTGCTGCACTAGTCATTTTCCAATTCCCCACTCGGAGAACTGGCTTCCCTGGAAAATAGGTCACTTACATAAAAAGCACCTTATTATCACACCACAGCGGTGAAGGAAAAAGATGGCTCGAGAGACACTTTCATTTTGAGCCCCCGTTCCTGGGTACTTAGATATTTCTGGAAAATTGACTCTTTGGGCTGCAATTTCTCATGCTTGTTTTCAGCCTGTAAGGTGAATTTCAGGACCTCATTCCCCCCATCGAGCTAGATGAAGCTGGGGAAGAAAATCTGTTACATCTTAACCCTTGGGAGGGCAGTGCGCCCAAGCTCACTACTTTCCCTGGGGATTGGGGTGAGCCATTTTCCCCCAATTTTTTTTTTTTATCAACGTTAGGGAAGTCTCCCAGAGACAAGTAGCCGTGTGTCCTACCACAGTAACCCTATCCAGACACTCATTTGCTTTTCTCCTCTAACTGGTAGTTGTGCTTAGCCCTCCCCACGTTGGGAAATAGTCAGTGAAGGGCAACTGGAGGAGGAGGGATGGGGAGAAGAGTTCATGCTGAGCCTGAGGAACTTCACATGTGGAAGGAGGCAAAGGAACCATAGGGACATGTCACCTTGTGAGGAAGGGAGAAGGTATCCAGTTTTCAATAAAGACACTGGAGCTGAGAGAGGGGATTCTCCTGCTCTGGAGATATTCAAGACCCACCTGGACAAGGTCCTGTGCAGCCTGCTGTAGGTGACCCTGCTTTGGCAGGGGGGGTGGTCTAGATGATCCACAGAGGTCCCTTCCAAATCCGAACATTCTGTGATTCTGTGATTCTGTGAAATGGGTGGATGCAGAGAAAGGAGGGAGTGACTGAGGGCATGTGTGGTTGCCCTTAGAGTCAGGTCGTCTTGAGAGGGGAAAGGGGGGTCTCTGGAGAACAGTTTTATCTTAGCTCACTTCAGAGCAGTGACATTAGCAAAATGCTCAGCTCCTCCAAACAAAAGCTCTAGATTTGGGGAACAGGCTGACACAGAGACTACAAAAGGCAGTGCTCCTAGGTCCTGGGTTGGGTGCTATGCTCTGTCTGCTTTTCATCTGGGAGGCTCAAGTGCTCTAAATCTGACAAGAGAAAATGCTGAGGTTTCCTCAGCCTCTCTCTTTTAGTGTTGCTGACTCCAGCCTTGGCCAGCACATCTTTCCCCCCACAGTGCTGTTCAGGCTGTGGAAGAAGGCACCTTCCTGGCAGACTTGTACTCAGCCAGGCAGGTGGAGAGGGGCCAGGGTGTGACGGAGCCCCCAGAAGAGGAGGATGAGGAGCGGGAAGTGGAAGGATGAGTGGGATGGAGGAGGAAGGGAAGGAGAGGATGCAATGACATGGGCAGATGGGATGGGAGGACCGAGGGTAAGAGCACAGTGAGAAGCCTGTGGAGAGACTTGGAAGCCAGGGAGGGCAGATGGAGAAGGGACCAACCAAAGAGCAGGTTGCTGGCCCCCCTCTCTTACCAGCACAGCTGCCCCATCCCGAGAAGCAGCTCGCTGCCTCGGCATGGCATGGCCAGCACGGCTCCCACGCAGTGGGGGATGTCCCTGCCACCGACTCCGCTGCGAGAAGGGGGCAGAAGGCCTGGTGCCTTGGCACAAAGGAGGTACTTCCAAAAAATGTTAGCAATTACCTCCGCAGCGTCGGCAGTCAGTGAGCAGGAGTAATTTGCACAGTAAGAGCTGGGAGATAGATGGCTCTTTAAACCAGATCTGTCATTGCCAGCTCTCTCCCCATCTCTGATGCTTTGATGTTCCTCTTTGAAGAGCTCTCCTCGCTTGCTATTCCTCGCTCCCTTGGTGCCGCTCCAGCTCTCCAAATGCCTCTCTGTGTCTTTCTGCCTGTGCGCCTTTGCTGCTGGGCTGGTACGCCTGCGTCTCGGCAGGAAGGACGCAGAGCGAGTGGCAGCTGGCACCCTGAAAGCCAGTGCTGGCGGGGGGCTGCGGGGAGGGAGAGCGGGATCCGGCACTCGCCGAGGCGTTTGTTCAGCACGAGATCTGATGCGCCATCACGGAGGGCAATGTGAAACAATAGCAGCAATAACGCCGAGCAGCTTTCAATCACTGCCTTGGCATCTGATGGGAGATCCAAGCGGTCAACCCAAAGGTACAGAAAGACAGAGGTGAGTGGGGGCTGGAGCCTGGGAGTTCCTGGTTCTCCAGCCCTTCAAGGGCACTGTGGTCTTCCCAGTATTTCAGTGAGTATGGTGTCTCTCACTTCACCTGTGTCCCTGGTAGGTTCGATGCCCTGGAAAGGGAGGGAAAGGAAGAACAGACTCATGTGAGAAAAATGGTTTTGGGTGATTGAAGTTTTAGGAGGGCTGGATGCTCGGTGAAACAGGACAGAGGCTCTTATGAGTGGCAGCGGACATCAAGAAGTCTGCCACAGCAACAAGGACCAGATCAGAGGACCCTATCTATGAAGGCATAGGGAAACAGAGAGGGGCAGATGGGTTAGAAGAGGTAAGTCTAGGGACAGTTGCATAAATGCCTAACTAGAGGCTAAGCATGGCATGGGAGACCATGCAACTGGAGAGGATAAGCCTGTGTTGAAACTACGGCCTTGTCTACGTGCAGCGGTTTTACCAGATACTAAGGTGTAGCTACCCAGGTGGGGTTTTACCTTGATGCAACCGACCTCCTGCCCTGAGCTCTTACATCCCAGGGTGCCAGCGACGGAGGGTTTGGGTTTCTTCACTTTAGCAAAAATCCCTTCACAAACTGCATAAGCTAAACCAAAAAAAGGCACTCTAATACCCGAATTAGTGTCTATTTAGGTTCTTATTAAGGGATAAAAGCTGAAAGAAGTAACAGCAGTGCTTTGGTTTCACCAGTTACATTAGTGAAGGGGCAAAGGGGCCTCAGTGTAACCCTTTTCATGTAAAGGAGATCCCTTGTATGTGAATTTTGTAGCCCAATGGTGTGTTTCATCTCAGAATTGCCTAACGATCTAAGCTGGAGAGCAAACAACTGTCACCGAAGCATACAAGGACACATACAAAAGTCCTGCTGCTGGAAGTCTCACTTGTAACATATTTTGAAAGGTCTGTGCTTTGGAAATAAAAATTATTGCAGTGTATGCCCTGTACATGCAGAAACTGTCTACTACTTCTAGAGGTACTTAGGTCTACGTTGTGTTTGAGAGCTGCACTGGAGTTTGGGCTCAAGGTCCCAGGGCCAAGAGGTGTGAAGCAGATGTTTTGACTGCAGAGACTAGGCAAGAGTTTCTATTTCTAGCGCCAGTCAGACAGTGCCAATCCAGCCTAAATATCCACCTGCCTGGGAGAGTGCGTTTCTGCTTGTGTCCCTGTCAAGAGACTCAGCCCTTTTCTTGGCATCGCAGCCCACATTTCCAAAAGTGGTCTCTGTCTTTCTGGGGCCATTTTGAAATGTGTTAAAGATCTGAGGTTTTTTTAGTTCCTGAGACAGGACAGAAAGCTGCTTGGTAGCTATCAAAAAATAAATGCATCCCTTGGAGATGAATTGCCCTGAGCTGGAGACTGCCTTTGGAAACAGTGGGCAGCATCATGAAATGTTGTTATGAGCAGCCTGTAGTTTGTAAGCAGGATCTCAGCCCTGCACAGGGGACTTGGGAACACAGATCCCTTGCAGCAAACAGAGGCAGGTGGAGGCAGTCCATGTCTCATCTCCCTCCCAAGCCATGCTCGCAAGTAGGATTTTGGCTTCTCTCTGCTGTAAGCAGCTTGATTGGTTTCAGCACACCCCTGGGTTCACCAGTGTGGAGGGATAAAGCCCCAGGTGTACTCTGGATGCTCAGGCTGTATTCCCTGCTGCAAGCCATGCTGCAGCAGAGAATAGGGTCACTATTTCTCCGACCCTGATGTGTGTAGTTTGCTGGCTAAGCTGTGCTTGCAAATGCAGCAGAAGGACTGTTTCCCCTTCTGAATCTTTCTTCTGGCATTAAAACGTGCTGCTTGACCACATGTGGTGGTACAGCCGGTCGCCGTGGAGGTCAGACGTGGTGGTGGTTTGTGGAGGTGGGTGAGGAGCATAGGCGCTAACAATCAGCAGGCTTTGAGCTCTTCGGGTTTCCTTTTTATTTTTTAAATAAGGACTGATGCAAGAAGAGGGGGTGGCGGTTGCTCAAGTGTGTGGCTGTCATCATTAGCACAAAAACCTGCCATGCTCAGAGACAGCTTTAATCAAAAAAAACATGTCAGGTTTCACCTGTGGGTTAGGGACCCTCCGTCTGTTGCCGGCACTGCAAATTAACTCCAGCCTGGAACCCAGGGTGACCTGTTCTCCAGCAGCGTAGGTCTCTGCACGGCAAAGCAGCCAGTCGCAAGGGAAGCAGCCCTTGATTTATCTCGCACTAGCTGGTAGCCTCAGGAGCCTGATTTTCTGTGCTGTGGTGCTGGCACATGGTGAGGGCAGAATCTGGCCTCGTGGTTTCACCCTGGAGAACGAAGGCAAGCTGCAGCATCACTAAGGCAGCATCTCATATTCCTACCGTGATGCCTCAGGGACAAATGACATCATCTATGTGCAGATTTGTGTTAGGAGCAATGCTTCAGGGGAGGCTCACGGGGACACTGCTTCTCACAAGTACCCTCTGTGGTGGCCATGTGAGGGTCTCCCTGGCAAGGGGCTTGTGGCAGCCTGTCCAACGAGCTTGGGGTGCTGGAGGGGAGCTACAGCACCCCTTTCTCCTTGCTTTTCTTGTATTTTTGCTGTGGCTGTGGCTCCTTCTCTCTGTCCTTTGGGTTGCAGAATACCGGCGAGTCACGCCTTTGGTGGGAAATGAACCTCCGTGCCCAGGACTCCTGGTGCCATCAGTGAAGCAGAAGGCCGGCTCCTTTCTGATGCGTGCCCAATGCTTTGTGTGCCCACAGTCACTCAAGCTGAGGTTAAGATAGGGGGATGGCTTCCTATAAACGGGTTGTTTGGGGAAAAGGATTATCCTTCCTCTTGTGAGTATTAGTGAGTAAACGGGCTGTGAGCACTGCCAAGTAAATCTACAATTTTAGAAAAACGAGCACTCAGACATTGTCACCTCACTTTAATCTCCTCTTGCCTTTAGTGATTATTTTCTCCCTGGCTATTGCAGACTATCTGACTAGCAATAAGTACGGCTTACTCCACTGTTCTGGTTCAACAGTAACTGTTAATGATGTAAAGCTGTATTAAGTCTGAGCTACTCCAATCATCTCATCCAAAACATCCCTTGAATGCCGTGGAACAAATTTCTCTGTAACAACTTGTCGGTCAGTGGATTCAAGCCTGCTTTGGCTTGCCATTCTTGTCTTGGAAAGAAAGTTTTGAGCTTAAAACTGTAGCTGTATGTGTGTTGCAGGAACAGAAAATGCCTGAAAATGCCTGAGACACACACTGACCTTCAACACACAAAGTGCTTTCAGAAAGCTTACCTTGTCTTTAGAGGTCATCCTGCATTTTCAGTAAGGATAGACGGCCAGCACCCCAACTGGCATAAGTCAATGCAGCCTGCCTGAGAGGGCTGGTTTCTTCAGCTGAGAATTTGCTGAATAGTTTTTGTAGAGGTCTATAAAATCAGCAGCAGCACAGGGAGGGCAAGCAGGGAACACCCACCCCCTAACTGTTGTCCTACAAAAATAAAGGGGTAACAGCTGAAGCTAGCATGCTGGATGTTCAAGACTACAGGGAGCAATTCCTAATACAAGGTGCCGTTAATCTGGGGAGACCCTGCCACAGTATGCTGTGGGTTTATGTTTATGTGGTTCAAAAAGCATTTAGACAAACTCATGGAAAAAAACTCCTAGGGCTATTAAACACAGGAAAATCATGCCTTCTTGCTCAGAAAGCCCCTGAGATGCAGATTATGAGAAATCAGGGACAAGTACATTAAAAGGGGGCTCTTGGGCTAGCTACAGCACAGAAAAGCAGGTTAGCGAAACAAGTATGGGCCTTCTAGCTTGTGGTGGAATGTGACATAGCTGGAGAATAACCTTCCTGCTCTTCCAAATTTTAGGATGATTTTAAAGAGGCAATGGCACCACGGAACTAAAGCAGCCAGAAATTTCTCTCCCACTCTCTAAGATGGATTGTTCGGGCAAAGACCAGCCATATTACCAGGGGCTAGTCCATCACTATGGACCTGGGAGACCATCCCTGACCACAGCAAAGATTTCTTGCAGGCTTGCTGAGGAGGAGATGAGGTTCAGGCCATCCAGACTCTGTTGAAACAGCAGTGGAGGAGAGAGGAAGAGGAAGGCAATGAGTGCAAGGCAAATTCCTCCTGGGCAGGGACTGTAAGAGCAAATGAGCCACTGGACTACCTGTGATGTGATCTCCTCCTG